GGAAGAGACTTTGCTCTTCCTGTTTGATAGGAAGAGACTTTGCTCTTCCTATCAAACAGGTAGAAACTCTTGCTCATGTCCTCATACCGAATACTTTTTATGATGTTGCAGGACGTAGGATCTCCCCAACCATCTCTACAGTTCAAGTCACACTGATAAATTTTATATTTACTACTTTTTAAAGTATTGTGACTATATTCACGTATCAAGTGGCCAAATATCTTTATCAAGTTATGCAACTGGGCATATTTTAATTAGCTGTATTTTTTTTTTATTTTATGGTCTTAGTGTTTTTTCCCCTCAGATGACGATTCTCTTTTTCTACTGTAAAGGCTGGTCAAAGATCATAATAAAGATACTGAGGAAAATAGGTGTTGCTCAAGGGGCTGTTACAGACTTCTAGGAAAACAGCAAAATCAACTGTTTAAAGGGAGAAAAGCTTTAGCAGAATACTCTTTTCATCCAAATTGTATAAACTGTTTACCTAAATGGTAAAGTCTCTTTTTATTTTTGATAGTTGAAATCTTTCAAGCTATCCAGTTAAAAAGTAAAACCGGATAGAGTTATTGATAAGGAAGGAACTGCTTAATATCCCTTATGCTGCCTGGGAGAGTGATAGTCGGAAATGTAAACTTTAGTCAGCATTGGATAATTCTTGTGGCAGGCTTGACCTTATACTTTACTTACAGATTTTTGCAATTTATAACGGTTGGTTTGCCTTTTTTCAAAAGTTACATTTAAGTGGCAATTAGCAACAGTATCCACAAATGATAACTACTTAAACACAGGTAAATATTAGCACCAAATTCAGTAAAAAAAAATCAGGTTGAGCAGTTCTGGAATAACGAGAGTGAATAGTTGACCCTTAATAGTCCAGATGGTTGCTGTCTGAAGCTAATATATGCTACATACAGGACATATTAACCAGCAGTTGTTTTTTTTGCTGTTGTCAGTTGGACAAATAGGAAATTTGTCACTTTTGTTTATAAACATTTTAGCTAAGAAAATAATTAGGTGCTTTAATTTTATTCAGTTTTAAAATTAGATTATGAGTTGCTGGCACAAAGAACCCAACTAAGGATACAATTGGTATCTTCACCTTTCTGTCTTTTGTCTTGTGACTGATTGCAAAAGAACTTGCTTTTTCATTGGCATTATTTGTGTTGTTTGCTTTCCAAAATGAAGTAGAATCCATATGCCATTTGTTCTGTAAGCCTAACTATGCAAGATGCATTATTTCTTTTATTTCCTGCTACCATCTGCTTATGAATATAGTCCAGATACAGGTATGGTTCCAATAAAAAGTACAGGATTTTGTGAGAGCTTTGGGTGGAGAGTTTACCTTTTAAATGAAGCTTTTACTACCAGTAAATATGCAACTCAATTAAAGGGGAAAGTTGCACAAATATGGAGATTATTTCCTGGGACATTATATGAGGCTTTTTACCATATCTTGTAATTAGATTCATGCTGGATAAAGTAAATGAAAAAAACTAACATCTTAAATTGTAAACAGTAACAGTAGTTTAAAAAAACCTTCCCTTTTTTAGAAAAAGGAAAAAAAAAGATTGCTGTAAGAGGCTGACTGCTCTAATTATCTTTGTTAATGATTAATATATTTTTAATCTAGCATACCAATAGTAACAGATATCATAAACCAGGGCTTTTCAACCAGTGGTACGGGTACCACCTGTGGTACATTGGCACCTGGCAGGTGGTACACGACCATCCTAGAAAAGGGGGGAGGGGGATGAGCTGAACCGGTGGCAGCACCGCACAAGCCTGAGCGAGAGATGGCTGGAGCTGCAGGGCTGTCAGGGCTCAGCGGAAGCACCAGGATCAGTGCCAGGCTCCAGCTGGGCCCAGAAGAAGCGCTGATCAGCTGGAATGTTGCAGCATCTCCAGGGTCTTGTGATTTACATTCAGATGCTTGGCAACTGATTCATATTTATGACAGTCACAGTGTCCCAGGGTCATGTGAATGACCAAAACCTCCTGCAACCACTCAGCAGACGGGGGGAATAAAAACCAAACACCCCCCCATCCCACCCCCGCTGCCAATCCCCAACAGAAATGCTCACAACAATGAAAACCTCGGACAGGAGGAAGAGCACCGCAGGGCGGGCAGGCAGGTGTCTTGCTCAGCTGTGGCTTGGGGGGGGCACTTTTTTCAGTGCCATTGTAACTTCGAACAGTCACTAAGCGAACTGTTGTAAGTCGAGGACTACCTGTACTTTATTTCTTTTCTTTCTTTCTTTTTTTTTTTTTTTTTGTCATCAGGTTTTTGACACCTTGCTAGGCGACCGGTGGTACTTGGATATTGCCATATCCTAAAAATGGTACAATGGGTGAAAAGGTTGAAAAGCCCTGTCATAAACTATTGATTCCCCTCTGTTTAGCTTATAAATCTCATGGACATTCTCTAATTCTTGAGTAGCCTTTATAACAGAGAGTAGGTCAGTGTCTCCTATTCACTATTCCCAAGCTTTAGTCACACGTGAGTCATACTTGTCCACTCATACAGTACATAATAGATGTGCAGAAAAAAAGAAATATTTATAAATGAGGAAAGAATCATTTTAATGGGCTTTTAGAGAAATTGTCCCATAAGTTGTGTGCAATAGAGTCACTTTGTAGGGGAGATGGGTGGCATAGAAATTTAATAAATAAATAATAATAAATAGGCCTCCATACTTTTTGTAAAGTACAGTACCTACGTTTATAGATCAGCAGGAAGAGTTATTGTTTTGAACTCCTAAAAATATTTGGTATTAACTCATTTTTTTGGTGCCAGGGTCAGCTGCTTCAAAATCAGACTGAGCAGAGCTGTGAGCACAGTGCTGGAAGGCAGCTGTGCTCTCAGAGTAAGTGATCCTGATTTGTACATTCTGACTGATGAGGGAGAGTTTGTCTCCCAAACTGTCACAGGGTTTATAGAAGTGCCACTCAATACTGGTGCTGGAATTGCTTGTCGAGCAATTGACTACAAGAACAGTGGGGATCAGAAACAGTGGTCACTTTGTTTTTCTTGGTTTAATAGGCCCAGAATCTGGCCTGAGTATTCATACTTGTTTGCTTGGACCTTGAAAGAAGCATTTTGGATTAAAGAGGACAGAGAATCAGGTTCTTTAGTTCATTGGATTGGTTTTATTAGTAAGGATGAGTTGTATACAGGTAACATCTTGTAAACTGGAAACATAAAGTAGTAAATAATGTTTTTCTTGTGTAAATGACATAGGTGTTAATAGCTAGAATACAGTATTGATATTTATGTTTATATTATGTTTCTGTGCCCCTACAGTTCCAAGAACTCATGGCAGTTTACAACCAAACCTTTAAATAAAACAACAAAAATTAAAGTTATATTAAAATTATTATTCCTATCATTATTCTTAGGCACCCTGAACGGTCATTTGAAGTTAAAACTTTAATAATACAATGGAAAATGTCTTGTTTTCTGTTTTAGCTTTGAGTTTGCTTAAGCTGCTGTTTGGCCATATTACTTTTGGAAGGTTTTGTCCTGCATTTATGCTGTGTGCTCTCATTATTTCTATTTGGGGAGTGGTTACCTAAGATGGCATAGTATGAAGAATTTTATTCTGATTATTCAAAATGAGAAAATTACAGAAAGATTTGCCAGGCGAGCAATTCAGAATATATACATTCTGTTTGATGGTGACTATACATTAAATTAAGGCTACTTTGTGCAGTATAGTCCATTATTTAATAAGTATAGCATGCCTGTTTCAGGAAACAGAAAACAAACATGTTTCTTTTTGAAAGAACTTTTGTACAACTTGTAGCTGTACAGGACAAATAAAATTTGGCTTCCAAACTGGCAAATGTAAAACAGTACCTAAGTTGTACAAGACGGGCATGTCAGCTATATAGTCTTGTGAGATATGTTCAATATGTGTGAACAATTTGGTTCACTGGGCCAATGGTTCCTGACAAATTCTTCTCCCTATTGTCACTCAGGGTCAGTTCAGTTTATTGTAAATGTTTTATTACAGAGCACCCTAAACAATTCATGGGGGTGGGGGGAATCTCATTGGTTTGGTGGTGAATGCATCTTATGTATGTGTGTTTTATCATCACATCTAGAAGGCAGAACAAATTTTGCTGGATAGATTTTTTAAAAAATTTGCTCCTGAATTTGTGATTGGGATTTCCCATATTGTCATTTATCATATACTTTGACAATAAATTTATCTTATCCATGTATACTATATCCTGCATACTGTACTCCTTTTACTCTGGATTTAATAAAATGTATCATCTAATCTGGTGATGAGATGGGACAAGTCACGAGCAGTTCAAATTAAGGCAGGATACAAATAAATGCAATTTATGAAGAAAAGTCAACATTGAGTTTTACATAACAGTCCATCAAGCATGTGTTAAAACTTTTTTTTTTACTTTCTGTATATCAACATTAGAATACTAGGATTTCTTCTGCATAGGACAGTGTTTTTCATTCCATCCATTTTAACTGGAAGTTCTAGACATTTACTTTCTCCTGCTTGCCACAATACTTCTCATAAATCATAAACTGCTTGCTTTTGGCTTGAATATACTTTTTCTGCTGTTATGCACTGCAATTCCCAGTTCAGTTTATTTCTGACAAATGTCATCCCTCACAGAGCCCTGCTGCCCCCCCCCAATTAATCTGAATATCAAAAGAATAATGAAATCCTCTCTAAATTCCTTTTTATAAGTCAAAATGTAAAATAATATTTGCTTTAAAAAAAACTTCTAAAATTTTTTTGCTGTTATATTATACATAGCAAAACCAAGAAATATCCATCCATAACTACAGTAAGCCTGGAGGGAAATGCTTACTACAAACCTGTATAAATGAGATTGCTGTCTTTGTCTATGTTAGCCTTTACCCAGGCTAAAAATTGTGCTTCCTTCTTTCTTTCCCAGATGATTACTTTGTATTTCTTTGTTAGTTATATCCTTCAATGATGTTCTCTACGCACTTTCTTTTTCTCTAGGATCGGGGTTTGTCATGTGCAGTGGCAAGGAGAATCCAGACAGTGATGCTGACCTTGATGTGGATGGTGATGACACATTGGAATATGGAAAAGCACAGTATCATTTTCTAGAGATGCTAAACTCCTAGCAGGTGGCTTTGTCTTTGCCAGTACCTCGCTTTCTAGAAGTTCCAAGATTATAGCTCTGTTAGAGAAGAGTTCAGAAACAAAATTTTTAGATATTGATAAATCTTATTTTCCAGTAATTCCCTGGTAGCACCGGTGGCATTCACATGCTGTTCCTTTTGAAAAAAGATGCTATTCTAAAATACATAACTTTTGATACCTCATAATTACATTGGTTCAGATGTGGTATAATTGGTAGTTAGGTAAAGAACAGAGAGATCCCCCCCTCAAGAATGGAATCCACCCATAGCCTTGATAACTCACTGGGAGGACTTCAAGCAGTCTCAGTCTCTCTCTCTCAGTACAATTTATTTCACAGATATGCCATTGTGGAGAGATATTGCAAGAGGGAATATTATGTACTTTGGGGGGAAGGGTGGGATATTAAATCTATCAGAGACTTAATAAATATGTGAATTGTAATTGCACATCTCATGTTACAAAAGGTACTTGGTTGATCTCCAAGATGACCTAAAATAAACATTGAAGAGAAGTCCACAAATGGTAAAATTAGTATCAGGCTGCATTCTCCTTAACGCTACATTCTTAGGTACACTGAAGCAGATATCATTCCATGCACTGGGGAAGAACCAGGTGAAGCCAAAGAGAGAGAGGCACTCCGAGGTGCAGTCCTAAAGTAAGTAGGCTTTCTTTTAAAATGCAGGGTTACAACATAGAAGGATTTGCTTTGTTGTGCTGGGAATTGGTGAGAATGCATTCAAAGCCAATACTTTCTTAGTTCTTAATACAATCCAAAACCAAGATAAAGAGAATACAGGCACATGCTAAACAAACGGTAAATGGCAAATTTGGCTATCTTGGTGCATGTAAGCATATCACTTAACTGAGAAAATTTTCCTTGGTGTTCTGTTATTTGGGACATTCAGTTCTGAGTAAAACTTCTACATTTTTCCATTAGAAAGTTCAATAGATTGGTATACAGTTAGTCCTTGACCTACAATTGTTCTTTCAGCAACCATTTGAATTTACAGCGGTGCTGAATGAATAGTGGTTATAGCCAGTTCTTGGAGTTCCAGCTGTCCCAGTAATGTGCTCATGATCTGGGCATTTGGCAACCTATTCGCACTTACAACTGGTTGCAGAGTCCTGCAGTCACATGATCTCTATTTGCAACCTTCCCCGGAACGTCAGTGGGGAAACTAGCAGAGAAGGTTGCAAGGCATTGAGGTAAGTCACTCACACACCCTCCCTGGACCGTTCTCTGTTCATGCTGCACATCCTCACTTTCACTCACAACATCTCCCATGTATTCCTCCCCAACCCACAACACACTTCTCACACACTTTCTTCAACCCTGCATCACACCCTTGTGCACTCCCATGAATCCTCCCCAAATATCAAAGCACCTCCCTTCACATCTTTCTCAATGCACACCATGCCTTAGGTACCCCCGTGTACCAGACCTGCACATAAACCCCTCTCAAACTCCTCAACTTGTGCCTCTTGCACGCTCCATTGCTCATTCCCTCACCCAGCAGCAGTCATTTACTGCCGGCCACCCTGGGGCTTGTAACTTCCTGCCAGCTTCCCCACTGACTTTCTGGGAAACTGGCAGGATGTTGCCATGCCTAAAAACTACAGGATTCAATTAATGATGACAATTATGACTATGGGGATTGCTGTGGCTAAGCAGTGCATTCCACTTTACAACTACATCACTTAGTGATAGAAATGTCAGTCTCAGTTGCTGTCATAGGTCAAGGACTACCTGTAATATACTTTGCCAGTTTATTACAGCCATGAAATTAGGACTCTAAAATGTAGGTGCCCAGCAACAAATTAATCTCTAAGCTCTGCTGAAGATGTTACCTAGCCTGGTAACGAGACGTTTGGAAACCAGCCCACAAGCTCAGAGAACACGCCTTCACCCTCAAGACCTGCATTATGTTTGAATAAACAGAACAAAGTGGTATAAATGTTTTGTATGTGAATGAGCAAAGGAAAAGGCCTGGGAGCATCACGGAAAGAGTTGGAATGCTACATTTTGATTGTTGTATTTGTAGATAGCACCAAGTCAGGATTTGCCTTGCTTACAACTTTATGGTTATTCCTAGTTAGTTTCACCCTATTTCTCTTTCTATTACTTGTATTTTGAGTGACACGGGACAAAAGACAATTCAGGAACAAACTATAAGTCTGGATTAATGGTTAAAACAAGCCAGGTTTATAAATGGATTTTAACTGTAGTTTGTTTTTTTTAAACAATCCTTAGGATAGATTTGCATTTTACATTAAATCAAAAACAAAGTGGCTTAGCACTAAATGAAAACCAGACCAATAAGACAAACGAACTGTTCAAAGATTTGTCCCATTGAATGCTCAGAATTTAAATACTCTTAATTTTATTTAGATTAGCATGAAAAAAGTAGAGATTTAGCTTTTACAATATCAAAAGCCTATGTAGATCTTCCTTTGTTTTCTGTTTCATACTTCAAAATCATAAGATTTGAATGTATATATTTCTTAGATGAAAGCAAATGCTATTTCTATAGAAATAAATGCTTTCCAATCTGGCTAAGACTTCTAATTGGCAGTTAGCGAAGAAAGAGTGCAGTAATGCAAATTTATTTATTTCTAAATTAGTTTGGGAAATATAAATGCTGGGTTTGTTTGTTTTTTGTTGTTCAAAAATGCTTCTTGCCTTTGCCATCTATATATTTATTTAGGCACATTTTAAGCCCTTGGATTTCAAAATAATTTACAGTCTCCATCCCCAAAACAGGAAACAATAGTCTACTATATTATATCAAGAAAAAATGGTAAACAAAAATTATTTAATAAAAGAAATGTTATGCTATGTACACAGTTGATGGTCCAGTTCAGATGTAGTATGTCAAAAAAAATTCTTTAACATAGTCTTATTATATAGCATGTTGATGCATGCTATCAGTTGCTCTCACTTGCCATTCTCCTGTCACTAGGAACAACTAAACCAGACAGTCCATATTAATTTAGCAGTATTTTTAAATTGCAGTACCTAGCTTGGTTCTTAGATGATGATGAATATGATGATGTTTTAAACTTGTATGCTGTCCAAACTTTCAATGTCTCTGGGTGGAGAACAGTAGCAAGTAATCCTGACTTTTATGTTATATTAAATAGAATACCACAACTCTCCAAATAGCTCATGCTGAGCCTTCAAAATGTTTTAAAACATTAAAAATGTGTGAAACTTGCAAAATCTGTCAGTTCTTACATAAAATCTTACAAGATTTCAGGCAAGAATACATTAGACCTAATCAGATTTCAGCCATTTGAATATTTGTACTGCAGTTTGAAAAGGATAGAAGATCTTACAGTTTATTTAGTATCCCATTGACAGAAAGAACTAAACATGAGTATAGCTACTTAGGTATAAGATAAACTGGGGCCTCTAGCCTACAGTTCATGATCTATAAACCATTAACAAATTTATAATAGAGTATATAGGTAAGATTCAGTTTTCTATTTAATAATTTTCAGCTGGTCCTTAATGGAGTTGAGGTGTTTTGTCAGTCATAGCATCTTTCATCCATATAGCCCAAGATATGTGATGCAATAATTTAAAAACAATAAAATTGGCTACATAAACTAAACATTAAAAAACAGTGGTGCTGAACCTCAGCCATTAAGAAACAGAAAACATTGTAAAGTAAAAATAATCAACTTCTCACTTCATTATTATTATTATATTTGGATTTATATCCCGCCCTTCTCCTCGCGGACTCAGGGCGGCTGACAATCAATTAAAATACATAAATAACAATTACAAATTTAAAATTAATTAAAAGAAATATTTGAACATTGTCCAATTAAAATATAATTAAAACCCCTCTAAAAATTACCCTAGGCCAGTCCTGCAAGCTGAAATAACCA